ATGTTAATAAATTAATATCAATAAGAATAATCCTATTGATATCTTTATAACATCCTGATTGGAATCTTATTATATCCTATCTATGCCATTATTCGTCATCAATCAGGATCATCTGATTTAAAAAAACAAAAAATAGGAACCAATCAGGTCAAATCTAACAACCCAGATTTGATCCAATTGGTCCACTATTTGTTATTGTTCAATTAGTGAGAGAGTGTTGTTATTAGAATTATTATCATTTTGCAATTGCTTCTATTCTAATTTTATAACTCTATTGATGATATCCTCGATTTTAGCATCTGGTCTATTATTCTCTTTCATAATCTACTTTATAAGTTCTGCATTTTTGGCTTTAACCTCAGTAAGCTTCTTTTTAAGTTCAGGAATCTCAGCATTTTCAGCCTCAAACTTAATAATCAATTGTCTTAATAAATTGTATAGCCTATATTGAAATGATAATTAATTTTTATATACTATATGTTAGTATTCAAAATTAGCAAAATATTTCTTACAATCAAAGATCTTTAGGATGAATAGCTATTAGGATATTTCTTAACTTATTTTCAGATCAGATAGATTTATCTTCTGCAGATACATAACATTAAAAGAAGGAAAAAAAGAGAAATTTTCTAATATTGCACTGCATATTTTTTGGGCAGTGATAATTATCACTTCAGATTAGTTAGATTGGTAAAGTACTAGTATTCTGCTTGATTAACTAGTATTCTACTATCAAGTCTCAACATTAAGGTGAAAGTATTACTGAACTGGCTTGTTAAAGATTAATTAAGATAATTAAGAAGTTTATCATTAAAATTAGGTGTTATAACATCCACAAAATTTTCAATATGAATATTTGGATTAAGTGAAATAAGCTGATCTATAACTTCTTTGCTAATATTATAACATCCTTTAGATCAAGATATTTTAAATTTAATAATTTCTTTGATAGTCATATCATTAATCAATCTGCAATAGGTAATATTGATATATTCTAATCTACATCTGTATGCTCACTAAAGATGGGAACTGTAATTAATATGTTGCAACTTTTAATGTTGCAACTTACGTTGCAATTAGTTTTAACCTATATATGTTGCAACTAATATTAGCTTATGTTGCAACATTTTGTAAATTTGAAATCAATTGCTGTACCATCTTTAGTAAGGATCGAGATAGTTCATTTTTCGCAGTCTTCAATAGTTGTCTAATTTGGCAAATTAAATGTCATCGGAGTTTCATCCATGTTGCCGATCAAATTCAAAGGATAGTTGTATTCATTTCATTTATAAAGAATATATGATGAAAAATTCTGCTGATTTTCATTATATTCTTCAGGTAATCTTTGTGCAACTGTAATGTATTAGCGGTTTACTAACAAATTACGAGATATAAATCCATCCACCCACTTATGTGTAAATTTATATCTAGAAATATCAGGATACAAAGTATGATATTCTTATTTGCTAGCCAAACTACAAGCTTTTGCACTAATCATGTATCTGGTTACTGTTTTTAGTTATTTTCTTAATTCACGAAACTACTCTAAAAGATCCTCTTTAAGTTGAGGATATTTTGGCTGTGTACCTGTATTAAGTTATTGAACATATAGAGCTGCATGCATAAAGCACTCTTTTTCTTCTTCCAGTCGTGAACTTGTTTTAGTTCTATATTATATTTACTTGCTATTGCCTGAACACTATGTCCATTTTCATTGTAAACACAACCATCAATTTTTTGCGAGCATTCTATTGTCGATGTTTTTTTTGTGTGGTTTTTGCTTGACGTGCACAAAAATTTCTTCTTGACATTTTTTAAGTATTAAAGGTTTTTTGATAATTTCTTAAGTTTAAAACTTCACATATAATCTGCTTTGATTATCACACAAATTATTTAAGGGGAGCATCATGGGTAGTAGCTAAATAAAGAAATATTAAATTCTACTTCTAGAGATTTCTTGTTATTTATAACTCAATTCCTAAATTTTATCTTGATGAAATGTAATGAATTTTTAACGATGCAAGTCATTAATTTTACAATTATATTATTGACTACTCCTAATTTATTTATTATAGACATGTTAGCAGACAAAATAAAGCTGATGTCTGGCTAATTAATATAGAATGCAACAGAGAAGTATATGATATAGAAGAGCATATTAATTTTTTTTGAAAGATGAAAAAATTTTTTATAATTGTAACTGGCATAACCTGTAATGTTAGATTTGCATAACAGTATCTTATAAGCCACCATTTACAATGATAACTGTATATAATACCCCTATATAGTATATCCTTCCAAATATAGTATCCAGTTCCTTACACAGTGCCCATGGATACTATTTAATTTAAAAAATTGAGTTCTTGAATAAGACTCTGAGTACTTTATATAGTGGCCAACGGTACTATTCTCTTCACACTATTTAAGATATTTTTGATATAATAATAATGTATGACTTAACCTATCTATATTTTCTTATCCCAAGATATAATATGATCAATTATAAATCTTATAGGATTTGGAAGTTGATCCCACATTATATCTTTCTTCATTTTAATATTAGAAATATCTTGTGGTTTATAATTTGAGAGGTTATAACTAAAAATAAATTTATGACTATTCCTGACACATCAGTGTAGTCTAAACCCCTAGTTAAGCAATCAAAAATATGTAAAATTTCCTTTACAGCATGATGATATATCAAAATAAATTATACGAGAATCTTCTATATCTACTTTGAGTAAAGCATCATGATTACTTGTAATCATTCACCTGAAAAAGTCTCTTAATTATAAAGTTTCAAGACCATTTTATTTTATATCTACTCTTCTGATAGTTATCTAACTTGCAGACTTATTATAACTTAAAATTTTAAATTTTGCAGTTAATTAACAAAAGAATTTTAAAATATTTTTATTATATTAGTAATCTTTTTATTTTTTTGAAAATTTTACTAAAATAATAAAATATAAAAATATATTAATATTTTTTTATATTTTTTTTAAAAAATATTAAACAAAATATATAAATGTTTAATTTCATATTAATTATATTACTTTTATATTATTTTTATTTAAAATAAATATTGTTAAGTTAGTAAAACAAAAAAATGTCTTTTTTAGATAAGTCAGATCAGATCATTTCAAATATAATCAATCTAATTTGATCTGATCTGATCTAAAATCACATAATATTTAAGTCAAATCAGATCAGATCAGATCAAATTTATATTAGTTTTATATTTGATTTAATTTGATTCAAATCAAATCAATTATCTGATCTAATCTAACTTATTTTGAAGTTTTAGATAGAACTAAACTTTTTTTAATTTGTATTTTTAAAAAAAAATTTAAATATATTGAAAAGAAAAATTTTTTTCTAATGTAATTATTTTGTTCTAACACAATAGATATTGTAAATAGATGCTAATTTAATATGTTGATTATTTTAATAATAATAGATTTAAGGATTCAATAATACTAGTATATGATTTATTTAAAAGATATTTAAATGAATCTATTTAAAAAAATTTGTAAAAGTAATATTTATATAACTGATTCTAGGTGGTGATTTAACTTATATTTGCTAATCTCTTAATATTAACAATTAATAAGCTATTTAAAAATAACCTTTGCAAAGAATGATTGATACTTTTGAAAAGCTAATAATAATGCTAAAAAAACAATTTAGAGAAATCTTTAATATGCTAATATAAGTGTTATATATAAGTAGATTAAACAATTCTGTGAAAATATTTCTAATAAAGTTATTATTAAATTTTTTAAAGCTGTGATATAACAAATTCATTAAAAAATTCTAATAAAGAAAATGAAGAATTGGAAAGATAAAAAATTGGCAAGCAATAAAAAGAAAACTAATAATGAATTTTAAAGAGATTTCTTGTTTAATAATAATTATATATGTTGTTTTACAAATAATATGATATGAGAAAAATTAAATATGAAAAATTAAATTGATTTGTTATAATAATTTTGGAGTTACTAATTTTTAAAATTGGGTTTATTAGAATATTGTTATCCTTTTTACTGCAAATTAATAACTAATAAGTTGCATATATATTATACATTTAAATATAATTTACTTATTTTCAAATATAAAAAATCAAGAATGAAAATTTATTAAGTAATTTTTTATTTTGATAGACTCATTAATTTACCTCTTATTATATCTATAATTTTAATAAACTTTTAAGATTCCCAAAATTGGTTTAATTAGAAAATTTTAGTTAATAAAATTAAATAAATAATATATTACTAATATTTATTATCCAGAGTGAAGCGGAAGACAATTTATTGTACTGTAATAGATGTTTTTGTGTTAAACCCTGAAAAAGTCCTTTCCTCTACTTATGTTACCTATTCATACCACTGTTTTGTTACGTTTTTAGAAAAAAAAATAAAAATTGAATAAATAGAGTGATAGTTTTCCCTAATTTTATATTTAATGATAAATATAAATATTAAATTTTTTTATTGTATTAATCAAAAATCGATTTCAATACATTGCAAGATGACTTACCAAAATTTTAGATGAACGTTACGTTACTGAAATTTCAGCGAAGGTCCGTCGCCAAAAATTGTCTACTACGGAACTTAAAGAATAACGACGAATTGCCTCTTGACTAACCCCACAACAATTAATAATAATGAAAATAGGAATCTTCCACAAATGTCCTGAATTTTTCAGCTTCACGGCAAATACGGTTAATAAATTAACGAATTACCATAAACATCAAAATTATGCCAATTGATATGCAATGAACCAGAAAATACTTTTAGCGCAAATGACAATTAGAATTCTTTATAATATAAATCATACTGAAATAAATAACATAAAAAAGACTATAGCATTCTTTCCTCATAGAGAAATGCTTCTATTATAACATTGTCAATCTTCAATTATCTCACGCACGTTCAATACAATGCAATGTTCTGAGTGTCAAAAGATCTAAATACATTCCTTTTTTTCCTCTTCTGTTATCAAAACCTCATTTTTCTTATAGAACTAAATGGACTAACAGCTTTAATTGTAGGAAGTACAAAATCGTTTTGTCTAACATTATTCGCTGCTTCAATATCCAAAGGTGGCAATTGCGGTGCTTGTCCATTATTATCATTGTTTTGTCCATCTGTTGTTTTAGTCCATGAATAACGAGCAACGTTCTTTTTATCTCCTGGAATTAAATGTCCACCTCTTCTAAATAAAAAATTGTCATTTTTCTTTTTTTTCTCTATTCTCTTGTTTAACCTTATTTCTTCTGGTTCATTTGGTGAGGCAAATATTAAATTACTCTCAGAAAAATATGGATGCTTAAGAGAATCTAATGCAGTGAGACGTTGTCTTGGATCATAACGCAAAAGATGTGAAAGAAATTCAAGAAAATAAGGTGGAGTTGCTTGAGGGAACCTACTTGATAATGGTTGGGGCAAGATCTAAAAATTGAAAGCATGTTTTTATTTGAGTTGGAATTGTACTTTCATGAGACATAAATTTATGAAAAATCTTGTATCGTTAATATTAGTATATATCAACTAAACGTGTAGAAATAAGTTCAAAAAAAAAATTTTTTTTATGTTTTTTACCTGCGGAAAAGAAAATCCCATCGCCTTTGCAAGTTTAGCACCATCCTTCCATTCTCCTCCACCAACCCCACCGACTTGCATAGCAAGTTCCGATTTAGCGTTAGGATTTCCTAGTACTTCAGAAATTTTGAAAAGTTGATCTATTTCACTTTGTCCAGGAAATAAAGGTTTTAAAGTACACAATTCCGCTAATATAGTTCCGACTGCCCATAAATCTATTGGTGAAGAATAATAATTTGAACGTAAAAGTACTTCTGGTGCACGATACCTAAAATATGGTTAATTAAATATCCGAAATTTAAATAACAAATTGGAAAATAAATTTCTTACCATCTTGTACTAACGTAGTCTGTATATGGAGACTTCGATTTTATCTCTCTTGCCAAACCAAAATCACCAAGTTTAACTATATACTCAAAATCTTCAGAACTTTTTATATTGTCCGTCAAAGTATTTTTAAAACATGGAGTATTAGAAGGAAATGTTGAATTATTTTCCTGTATTTCATAATTATAATCACATTCACACGTTATTTTTTTTCGAGTTGAGATAAGAATATTTTCCGGCTTCATATCACGATGAAAAATTCCGTGTGAATGAATATGATAAAGTCCTTCAAGTATTTGGAATCTATATAATTATTGAAATGTGAGAAGATATTAAGTAATTTTTAAAAAAAAAAATAACTAAGATTTTAAGAATGACTTTACGTGATATATTGTACAATTTTTTCATCCAACACTTTTCCTTTCCTATCTTTTATTAATTGATAAAGGTTGCCTTCCATATATTCAAAAACAAAATATAACTCTCGCGTTTGAGGTATAAGAAAAGCCTCTAGTAAAGAAATGATATTTGGTTTTGACGGTAAAACTCTTAGAGCCTTTATTTATCCAATTCCCAATTATTATCATTACAATTAACAAAATTATGTTAAAAACACGTGTGGTGAAATGAATCTAAAAATAATTACGAAAACGAAAATGACTATAGAACTTAGATCAAAATATATATATATATATATCTTCCAATTAATACCTTAAATTCACGAAGCTCACAAACTTTATCCCATGAAGAAAATTTCTTTTTCATTCTTTTGATGGCCACCTTTTATATTATTTTAAAAAGAGCATAAATGTAATTAGAAATAAACTTGGGCGAAATAAAATTGTTTACAATAAATAAATTTATTTCATATTGAATTCTACCCTATATAGCTTCTACAATTTATGATTAACTTTGTGGAAAATCAATATTCGGCGCGTCTTAAACTCTTCATGAACTTATTTTACAAATTGTTAGATTTAAAAAAATGTAAATAGAAGTCATGAATTTTAATTTCCATATTATTTTGTATAAGCTTCAATAAAACTTTCTGATAAAAACTTTCCGTTTTCTTATGAAGCCGAATATGTCTTACTTTTCCTTAATCCAAATTTCAAAGGAAATCTAGAAAACTATATAAAGAAACTCACCACTTGTCCTGTTTGTTTGTGTTGTGCTTGTATAACTGTGCCAAATGAACCGTCTCCTAACTCTTTTATGATAAGGTAATCATCCATTTTGACGGCACAATTTTAAAGATGTAAGAAAGGTGTATAATAACTTTGGACGTTTCGGAGAAAAGAAGATCTGACGAAGACGTTATATATAACTTAAAACAAATGATGTATTTTTTAGTCAACTTTTTGTGGTTTTAAAAAATTGATTTTTATTTGTTTATTTTTCATAATATAAGTACACCATATAATCATAATCGGTTTCACAAAATCGGTGATTATATAGAGGCGTGACTGAATATAGGTATGGCTTTTAAATTATCATAATTTTGGCCAGAATTATAAATTATAACATATATGGAACCTTTGCAATAGAAAAGGGGAAAACTGCCAGGAAAATCAATTTTACTTTATATGTTAAGTATGATTTTTAAGCTGAAATATATTCACATTTAATATTAATTCATTTTTTTTTTTTTTTTTTTTTTTAAAGATGTGATAAAGCATATATTATTTAAAATTCAGATTTAGAATACAATATAAATCCTATAAAGGATACATTAGTAAAAAAAAAAAATAAAGTAAAAGCTGTTTAGTCTTTCTCGAAGAAAAAATTAACTTCAACTTCAACTAAAATAAATGGTTATCTTATTACTTTCATTAATGACTACTAAGAGAAAAAAATCAATTGTGTTTCATTTTAATCTGATACATTATTAAAAACCTAAGAAATAGGGACTGTTGTTAAGTCCGGAGCATGTGTAATAAAAGTAACCAATAACATATTAACTCAATTTTTGAGCGGGTGGATATCGAAACATTTTTGTGTTACACATTCTAGACAATATAAGTCCTTCGTTACATTCCGGACTAATTAAGTAGCCAATTAAAATCATTTAAAGATCAGATTAAATAATCGGATCAACAGATCAAAAAATTTCATGATTCAAATATTTTGAAAAAAAACGTGCTCACATTTCATATCGTTAGGACGACATGTTTAAATTTAATGAATTCAAAATTTAATATATGTTTGAAGCCTATTCCTATATTTCCAAAACTAACAATAGTAGAAATTTCAAATTTTTTTCCTAATGAGTTTGCGTCTGGGTTAGCATCTACTTCTAAAGGACTAATTGATCTTACAGAGGTTTGTATTTTTTTTTATCTAAAATCTTTTTAATATAATTATTAATATATTTATATAAATAGTTGAATACAAATATTATTACTATACTAGGAAAACGGAAATCATTGTTAAGTCCGAAACTTCTCATAGATTACAGAATACATGATAAAGTCTACTTAACATGATCATAGCAGCATTAAAAAATAATCAATCGCAGATTTCTAAATTAAGTAAATCTACCCTAATTCTGGCTATAAAACAGAGAAAACTGTGTTTATAGCGCTATGGTTATAATGAAACAAAAACATGACTGCAGCTCAATTTTTAGATAGTTACTGCATGTAAATTGAAAGTTTCAAAACAATAAAGAACAATAAAGTATTTCTTAATGAATATTAGATCCTTTTTCAAAACTCTAAAAATATTGTATAAGCGATGATTGTGTTAATTTTCTTTGTATCAATTCGTTCTTTATTTAATTTTGATTAACTGATCCAGACAGATTGATTAATTAGTTAGAAAATGTATATAAGAGAAGACAAAAGGAAAGAATATGAAAAATTGTAATAAATTAAATTTTTATTTCTTTTTGAAAGATTTTGAATTTTTTATTTTAGATATTAGATATGACTTTTATCAGAATAGATATTTACTTAATTTAGAAATGTAGTGTAATGTCTCATGATATGAGGAGCGGAATGACAATAGGATACAATGTGTAAACATATATAGTTTTTTGCTAATGTTTCAGACTAACAAGAAGATTCACAAAAATTTAATGAAGATTTTTTTAGTAAAATTTATCTAAAATTTTAATTAAACATTTGTATATCTAATACTTATTTTTTTATACTATTTAGCTATCAGTTAAAAGTAAGAAATGAAAATAAAAGATCTTTCAAAAAGAAAAAAATCCAAGTAAAAATAATATCAAATGGATAGATATAAAATTAAAAGTTTACTTACATTTTGGGGTGAACATTTAGAAGAATAGAAGCGAGGAAAAATAAAAGTTTATCAAAAGATAGTAAATACAAATATATTGTCTGGTCGCAAATTAGAAATAAGGTGAGAAAATTATGTGAAATGTACTTGCAAGAAAAAAAGCTAATTCTACTGATGAAGAAAGCGTAAATTGGATTTGGTTTTCACAAATAGAAGAAATTTTAGCACAAAGCAAAGCTGTTAATCCAGATTATATTACAAATTCTTCAACTACAGATTCTATTTCTGATAACGAAAATTTAAATAATAAAGAAAATTATGAAGCTAATAAATCCAAAAAGAAAAAAAAAATAGTAAATGGAATTAAAGATTTATTTGAAATGATTGTTACAATGGAGGAGTCAAGGAATAGATTTTATAAAAAAAAACTAGATTTAAAAGAATGCGAAATTCAAAAAAATTTTGAATTAGAAGAAAAAAAAATTAATTTAACAATATGAATTAGAAAAGGGCAAGCTAGAAATATAAAAGTTACGTGCTGAAAATGAAAAGGTTAAATTGAAGTTAGAAATGTTAAATTTCATAAAATAACGAATAATAAAACATTTGTTTGATTTTGCTTAATAAATTTTTTTAATAAAATGTCAATTTATGAATTTTAATTTTCATTAATATTTTTATTCATAATTTCGATTTTAAAGTGTTTTTATAAAATATAAGTCAATATTTCGTCAATGAAACGTAATATCGGTTTCGTTCGATTTGCATCAAATGATTCATTATCATCGTTCAAAACGAATGATGGATTTTATCGTTTGATTTGCATCGAATGATTCGTCATCATCGTTCGAACTGAATGATGATTCTTTTATCGTTTGATTTGTATCGAATGATTTGTCATCATCGTTCGAACTGAATGATGATTCTTTTATTGTTTGATTTGCATTGAACGATTCTTCATCATTGTTCGAACCAAATGATGATTCTTTTATCGTTCGATTTGCATTAATGATTCTTCATTATCGTTCAAACTGAATGATGATTTTTATCATTCGATTTGATAGAACGATTCTTCATCATCGTTCAGACCGAATAATGATTCTTTTATCGTTCGATTTGATTGAACGATTCATCATCATCGTTCGAACTAAATGATGATTCTTTTATCGTTTGATTTGCATTGAACGATTTGTCATCATCATTCAAACTGAATGATGATTCTTTTATCATTTGATTTGCATTGAACGATTTGTCATCATCATTCGAACTGAATGATATTTTTTTATCGTTCGATTTGCATTGAACAATTTGTCATTGTCGTTTGACATTGATTTATTTATCATTTTTATACATAAAACACATTTATTTTAAAATTTAAATTTACAAATGTAAATTTTATTTTACTAATTATCCTAAAATTTATTTATACAACAAATTGATTTAACATTTCTTCTCTTTTAAATTCTCCTTCTAACTTCAAAATCTCATTACTT